GCGCACACAAGCAGATGGAGCAGGGTTAGATTTATTTTGAGCCTCTGTGGGTGGGGACAGTGAGCGACGACATGACGGGAGCAGGCCGGAGGCGGCAGAGCAGGGCTTCCAGAATCTACTCGCACATGGCCAGGCACTGCGGCACGTGGAAGCAGCTTGTGAGGGGAATGGATGCTGGGGTTAGGAGGTCCTAGGGAGCCAGGTGCCACAAACCTTTGCAGTCTCGTCCCGTTCCTTGCTCACCTTTAAAAGGACCTCTCTTGATGGTGAGGGTCACCTTTCCCTCTCGGTTCAGATAGCCGAACCATTCCCCGAACTCAGGATCACGAAACTAGAATAAGGAGACAATGACAGCTAGTGTCTGGCAGGACACACCAGAGTGTCACGGGCTGAGGAAGGGGCCCTCGCTGTCCCCTTTGTACTACCACCACTGGTCAGAGTTCAAATGCCATGATTTCATTACTTTTTTTTTTTTAGCTCAAGTCAGTAAAACTTTATTTTGATAGTGGTTTTCATTACTTTTAAGAGACCATGTCCTGGGAAAAGATGAAAGCTGAGGATGATAGGCAGTTGGTTTTCTCAGCTTGTAACCCAATGGGAAGATGCTGCAGGCAATGTGCTGAAACGCTGAGAGAACAGGTGCTCTATGTTTGATTGTAGTGTGTTATCTAACACTTTGAATTGAATACTTAAAAACACACGTTTACCTAATCTATATTAAAAGGCAAAAAGAACAAAGAATCCTGGATTGACTTGCCAACAAACTTTGTAACATGTCCTCTACTCCACAGGCCTTATCAAACAGAGACACGTAACTCATGCCCTTGCATGTTGTGGTTTTTATAACAGGGTGTCAGACTTTCCTCTAACCCTGTGTGATGGGGAAAGCTTTTAGTCCCAGCCCTCAGGACGTAGAGGCTGACACATTTCTGTAAGTTTCAGGACAACATCGTCTTCTGCCTATTTTCACCATGGGTTCTGAATGTATCTCTCTCACTTCTGACCCTGTCCAGTGGATCTGATGCTTCAAATAAGGGGGAACAGCAGCTGAGCTGGTTAGATAGGCTAACCCATCCCATACCTGTCTCACTGAGGCTTTTTTTTTTTTTTTTAGTTCCCCCAAATGAAGCCCAGGTCCTTATCCTAGGCCCTTTCCATTTTGTTCTCACCGATAAAATAGTTAAGTAGAACCCTTTCTTAGAAGGCATTCTTAGAAGTTTACCTTCAAAATGTTCCCTTTAAATTGTGACATGTAAGTTGTGAAATTTTAATTTATCTTTAGATTTTTTTTTTCGGGTGGGGGTGGTTCAAGACAGGGTTTCTCTGTGGCTTTGGAGACTATTCTGTAACTAACTCTTGTAGACCAGGCTGGTCTTGAACTCACAGCGATCCCCTTGCCTC